GCTCTACCACTTGAGCCACAGCGCCACTTCTGGTTTTCTGAGTGGTTTATTGGAGATAAGAGTCTCACAGACTTTCCTGCTGAGGCTGGCTTTGAGCCTCAATCCTCAGATCTCAGCCTCTTGAGTAGCTAGGATGACAGGTGTGAGCCACCAGCGCCCAGCTATGTTGTGTTTTCTTCTGTTATGAATTACATTATATCTTGTGTCCACTTTTCTAGTGGACTGTTTTTCTACTTTATCCATTTGTAACCATTTTCTATGTTATCAAGACTGATGCTTTATGATTACATTGCAAGGTTTTTCAGTGTTATTTCCTTTTTCAGTTCATGTATTAGGTGATATATATATATATATATATATATATATATATATATATAATTATGTATGTGTGTGTGTGTGTGTATGTACCAGGAATATGTGTTTACCAGGATTTGAACTCAGAGTTAGTGTCTCACTTTTTTTTTTTTGTCAGTCATAGGGCTTGAACTCAAGCTTTGGGATCTGTACCTGAGCTATTTTTGCACAGGGCAACGGCTCTTACCACTTTGAGCCACAGTCCCACTTTTGGTTTTCTGGTGGGTGGTTCATTGGAGATAACAGTCTCACAGACTTTCCTGCCCAGACTAGCTTTGACCCAGCTGAGTCTCTCACTTGTGCTTGGCTTTTTTGTTCTGGGCTGGCGCTCTACCATTTGAACCAAGTCTCTAGTCTGGCATTTTGCTAGTTGAGCTACAGAGTCTCACAGACAGTGCCCAGGTCTGGAGTTCAAGTATTATCTTTTAAATCATCATCTTGCCAGGCTTTCTTGCTTACAGCTAGTGTTCTACAAGTTGAACCATACCTCCAGTCTAGCATTTTACTGGTGAATTAGAGACAGACTCTCAAGGGCTGGCTTTGAGCCACTCTCTCTGAGGTTTTAGCCTCCTAAGAAGCTGAGATTACAGGTATGAGCCACCTAGCTTGGCCACAAGTTTTTTTCCCTAATGTTTTTGTCGTGTACATTCAGTGAATTGGCTTATCACGGACTTTCCTGCCTACAGCTGGCTTTGAACCATAATCCTCAGATCTCAACCTCCTGAGTAGCTAGGATGACAGGTGTGATGATGTTATTTTAAACCTAAGTTAATCATGTTTGGGTCTTTGTTTTCCATTCTTCAGGATAGATACCCAGAAATGGACTTTGCTGGCTCAGGTGGCCAATTCTGTATTTTATTTAATTTTTTTAGAGGTCCTAAAGAGAAAAAGAGAGGCAAGGAAAGAAAAGAGAAGAAGGAAAAGGAGAGAACACATTCCAGACAAGCCAGCTGTGGAAAGGCAGGCTGGTAGGGGAGAGGGAGGGAAGGGGGGAGGCAGGGAAAGCCACCAGGAGGGAACTTGGGGTGCTGTTGGTTAGTTCTGAGCCTCAGGCCTAGGTGAAAGACTGGAGCACACCCAAGGGCAAGTGTGGGTGCTGGTGAAGCCCCAGGAAGTTCCCTTTAGTGTCCTGCCATGGGTGCCGGCTCCCCACTGGCTAAAGGCTGTGCCCAGGCCTTGTACCCTCCCAGGCCCTGTGGTAGTGGGGTGATCAGAGGAGTAAGAACCAGCCAGCCAGCCTCCAGTCCTTTGGGCAAGGCCTGACA